TCCTCTCATTCCGAATGCCAATTACGAGTCGCATTTGCAGTATTCCAGATACACCATCGTTTAATTCTTCTTCTACATATGTCTTTCTCTTCTTCCCAAGCAGCTCACCCCTGCTTGGACAGGGGTTTGTAATTCGGCCGGACTACCAACCTAGGCAATCCGCTGGAACTCGGTGACTGGCGATGGGGAGCACAAACCTAAGCCCGTGCCTGGGACATCTACACGACAGAAGGGAGTAGTGTTGAGCAAGGCTAGGTATTTCCAAAAAAAAAAATGAGGAAGACGTATCTTGGTATTGACCTTCAGATCTGCTCTGCAGTCCAGGTCAATGAAACAACAGCAGATGCCTTCATCAGAAGAAGTCGCTCTCCCGAGGGAGAGCCGTTTTTTGGCTGACGGTTGAGCTTGCATTATGTATGGGAAAATTCCCTCGAAAGCAGAAAGAGATTAAAACCACAATGAGGTCTAGCTGCCCTCGAGTCAGATTGTTCACAATCGTAAGCACGACATGACCTGTCACGGTTGTCGTCTCACATCATCGTCAGTCTCTTCATGGGATGCAACTATCAAACCATTCGGCCTTGATCATGCACAAAAACAGACTTTGTTCTGTCATTGCTAAGAGACCGAGGAAAAAAAAAAACCCCCGCCGCTATATAACAACCAATGAGATGGCACAGCACTTCTCATAAGCACACATGCGAGTCATGGAAACACGCGCTGATTCCGCGATTTCACAGTTGGGAAAAAAAACCATTGCAACCCATCAACGAGTCTGATGACGCACCATTTGTCGCCAGACAATGATAATACGAGGTGTCTCTATATGGCAAAATGACCACTCAACCTGGCTGTCCACATTCCATGACGATTACGGAAAGTATATCCAAATGTTCATTCATGATGATGTTTCGAGCCTCGGTTGTGTTCCTCTCACACAGTAGGTATGTGAGAAATTCTCATCCTAGATTCGCTTTGATTGCACATGCGATGGTGCGAGCTGAGAATTAGATGCTATGATCGGTCTTATTGTGGCCCTCGATCGAGAAGGGAACAAAAGGGAAGAAGAAAAAAAGGCCATGGCACTATTGCCGGCAGGCTACCGAACAGCCCTGGTGAGTTCGCGGTTCGGGTAACAGAGGGACCCGGAAGGCATGTTCCCATACCAATGCCAATTCTGGTAGGACTGACTCTCATAATATGATTTATTTCCCCCCCTTGTCACTGGGTACAGGTACATGCATGCATACAACCAACTACTACCTGCAGCACACCTATTGCTTACCTAGGCTCAACCAAGAAATGGTGAATGTATGTCCAAGATGTGCGCGGATTTTCCGAGCAGTGAGTGCAACAGTAGTTTCACTCACGTCTCGATGGTCCCTCTGATTTCATAGTTGCAGGGCAGGGTACGATGTATACTTACCAAAGGTTTCCAACAATAGCTTCTTTGGGCTTTGGTGTGCTAGACACGTACCTAGCTACTTGATTTACTTACTACCCAGCAACCACTACCACCACCTCGTCGTCTCGTAACTCTCACCATGCGATGAGGGGGGAAATAGACAGAGACAACCTGCTGTGTGTAGAGTTACCATAAGTCGATCGCACATCTGTGGTATCTGTAATGTGTTTCAGGCAGGTGAACTGCCGTGGGCAGATACCGATGCATCTATGCCAACTCGATATCTGCCAAGC